TCCCCTCCGCTCCCCTCACAGTGCCCCGCCACCAGCACGTGTGTCCACGAAGGCCCCCCCGCGCCGGCCGGGGGAAAGTTGCGCTGGAGCCGCCGCCCCGCCCCGCTCCGCCAACCGCCGCCTTTGTGCGGCCTCGCGCCCGCTGCGGGGGGGTTCCCCCCATGGCGCTTGGCGCCTTTGTTCGCGGGCTGGCGGGGGGCGGCCCCGGTGCTCCCCTCCCTGCTCTCGCCCGAGGAAAGTTTTGGCGGCGCGAGGGAAGCCCGGGGGGGACGAGACTTAGCCTTGCTCTACACCCAGGGCTCAAATTACGCTTTGGCTTTTGGAGGGGCGCTGCGAGGAGAAAAGTGAAACTGGTTAATTGACTGAGTCCACCAAAGTGAAGGAGCAGCCCCATAGGAGGACCCCCCATTATGATTTTTAAACCTACAGGGGGGCTCTCACTGCTCATGGAGGGATCAGCCCTCACTTGGGCGCTCTCTGAATTCTCACCCTGTGTGGGTGGGATGGGGAGTGGGTCAGGCTGCTGCTGTGGCTCCGAGACTGGGACCTTGCTGGTGTCCTGCCCTCAGGGTCCCTTCCCAGGTCTGCGGTGCCCCTCCTTGGTAGGTGCGTGGTCCCACTGCAGGAGGTGGCATGTTGAAGTTGGCTGCCCCTGCAAAGTCAGTCACCCTGTTAAAAAGGACTCACTAGCTATTGCAACAGAGTTGGTGCTGGAAAACGTGGAGTGGCTCTGCTGCTGGTTTCTCTCCGGGTTTCCTTTGATTGTGTGGCAGGGCCCCCATGTCCAGCCACCGCGCTTGGCCCCGGTGTACGCCAGGCCTGTTTGCTGTAGGGAGAATAGCGGGTTGATAGCCATGTGGAAAAATAGTGTCCCCCACTTTGTTATCAACGAGGTGGCTGAAGACACAGCAATGAAATACAGGGGACAAATAAAATAAATGGGGGAGGGAGTGGGGGTCATGGGTTAAGAACATAAGAAGTGCCACTTTGTGGGTCAGACTACAGGGCTGCCTGGCCCAGTGCTGTGTCACAGGTAGATGCTGAAAGGGAGTGTGAACTAGGAATGGCCAGGGCTTTTTTCCACTCTTCCTCTCCCCACTTGCAGCCTCCAGCATTTCAGGCATAGGAAGCTCTAATTCAGAGGCTGTATCCCTTGCTTCTGTGCTCAGTAGCTTCTGATGCCCCTTTTCTTCCAAAAATGTGTCCTGTTCCTTTCTGGATCTGGTTAAACACTCAACTTGCACAACATCTGGTGGCAAGGAGTTCCACACTTTCTATTGCATACTGTGGGGGGGGGGGGGAGAACTGCCTTCTGTTAGTTTTTAAACTCACTACCTCCTAGTTTTGTTTTGTGACCCTTAGTTCTTGTATTGCGAGAGGTAGTAGAATAGTAAATTCCTGTTTACTTTCTTTGCCATTTTGTGTTTTCTAAGCCCTTATGTCGTGTCCCCACCCCCATCACCATCAAGGATCTCTTCTTTTTAAAATTGAATAGGCCTAGCCTCTTTAGTCTGTTGTCTTTAGTTTCTCCATGCCCCTAATCATCCTTGTTGCCCTTCTCTGTGCCTTCTTTAGTTCTTCTGTATTCTTTTTGGGACCAGAACTAGGCACAGTATTCAAGGTGGTGTTGCACCATGGATAAAGGAGCATGTTGTTTTTTTCCATTTTGTTGACAAGGGGAGGGGACACCAAGCAGAGCACCCCGGCCAGCATCTGCTGTCCCCTGAACTTATGATCTGACCAGGAAATGACATTTCTTGTGTGTATAAACTGCCTCTTGTGATCTATTAATGAAAGTCCCTCATGTTGGGATTAGCAGCTAGAAGGCCACGATTCCTTCCTTCTCTCACCTTCCAGGCAGCATCTTTCCCTGTCCTCTGTATTGTGCCGCTGTTATTGAGCTTTTTTGTTTTAGTTTGCCTCTATGCTCACACGATACAACCAGAGGCTGCTCCTGTAACGCAAGTAATGCTCGTTGTGTAATTCTGTTGCATGATGACCTGTAGAAGAAAGTTCCTATGTGGCCGCCTGGATTGGAATGATCAAATTAGGTTGAGCTGTGGAAGAGTAAATGTGGCCACTGCTTTAGAAAACCAGACAGAACTTTCTTGTGCCTGAAGCATTTTTGGTGGTGAGAAGAAGTGACCCAGAATGCTATTTAAGACTCCTGGTGGAAAGAGACGAGCATCATCCTTAAATTTATTCCTGAACATTACTAGGCTACGCAATTCGATATACGGGGTGAAAGATTGGGGAACTCTTTTCTTAGGTTTTCTTTGTGTTTTTGGCATTGTTTTTGTGTGTGGCCAAATTCACCCTTTTGTTGATCCACTGTGCTGCTTGCATCATATGGGTACACGAGGCCTTTTGTGACGCAGGTTGGAGCTTCATTGAACCTAGTAATCCCCTATATACTGAGGTATCTTGACGGTGGCAGAGTTGAAGCTGAAAATGCAGGAGGCAGTGTGTGCATGTGGAGGAACGGGAGGGTCTGAGTGCATGGAGTTCTTGGGCCTGCCCTGAACTCCCTTTAAACATAATCAAAAGGTGAGGGAAAGCTGGAGTTTTTTCTTTAAATTAACTTAAAAAATCTAAGTGCCAGTTAAAATATGCTCCAACAGCAAAATGTTTTTGAAATGAGCTATTAAACTGTTTGCTATCGTTAAGATTTATGGTAATTTTACGCTAAGTTCCAGCTGTTAGACCAGGTATTACCATGCCTTGTATTTGAAGGCAACATTAAAGTACAAAAGAGACCCCTCTGAAGAAGTAGGGAAACAAACACCTTCAGGTTTTATTTGTAGTAAAATTTGGCAAAACTTGTTACCATTGCTCCTTATACTTTCTATTTTAGGTTATTCTTAGAAAAATTACTTCCCCAAGACTCTGATGATTGGGAAAACGGCTGTCCAGACTGTTGTATTACTCATTCCAGAAGGAAGAAACACCTGAAGCAAAGATTTTCAAAAGAGCTGATACTTGAATTCCTGCAGTGGGATCTACTGGCAAGGCCCCTTATGCCCAATGGGGACCCTTTGAAGTCGGCGGAATCCTTTGTGGACTAGAGGATCTTGATGCAGACTTGAGGTGAAGCCCTTTGTTGTCTTTCTGTCTGTTTCTTTTGAACTCGGTCACTTAGTTGGGAAGCCAGAAAGCTTGCATGTCTGACTTTTTGGGATCCCTGAGGCTGTGTTCTTTATTGTCAAATTCCATTTTTATTTTAAATAGGGTCATATACTTTTTGGTTTCAGAATTTTACAAATGACTTTTGGCTTTTTTCAAATAGCGTATTATCTGGAATTTTCTTTAACAGCTACAGTGACATGCTGGGCACAGCCTGTCGCAAAGAGCTTGCAACAGGTAGCGGAGTATGAGTTAAATGTTTCTGAGTGTTGCTGTTTAAGTTGCTGGGACTTTGGTTGGCGGCACCAGTGTAGTCAGTCATGCACTCCCTGTGCAGATTGGACTTTAGAAGACTGGATATGTAGAAAAAAAGCTGTTTTGAGAAATGTAGGAGTTGGGGTACCTTCATGTCCATGTTATTAAAGATATAGTTTATTAGACCTTTCGAAATAGGGTTGGCCAGCTTCGAAGGTCCAGGGGTTTCGTGCCATATGGGCTGCACCAATGTGAGCTGGTGCCCCTGGGCTGCATGCTGCTGGGTTCCCCTCCCTGCAGCACCATGTGTGGGGCCATCCTGGCCTTGTTCTCAGCTCCCCAGCTGCAGGCTCCCCTGCTGCACCTTGTTGCATGGGTGTCCTGCCCAGCAGTGTCCCTTGGCACTGCAGGCTGTACTGCACTGCACCACACTACTTCCTGGTGCAGGGACAGGGAGAGGAAACCAGAGGTGGGAGCAGAAGCTGGGAGATCATAGCTACTATTGCAGCTGGAGCAATGCGTGCAGCCCATGGGCTACCAGTTGAACAGCCCTCACTTTAAAACTACTTTTAAGGCCTGTTTCGTTAATACTTTGGCTCTGGAGTGCTTGACCTAATGTTAGGGTTTTTACAATCACATTTTCTTACAAGTTAAGTGCTGTTTTTAATTCCCCATTGGTATGATAGTAGATGTCCCAAGGAGGGGTGGAGGTGTGAAAGCTGACGGAATTTTAAAGTGTTCTGATGATGACAATTTGTTTTTTTTAAAACAAGCACACTTTGAATTTGGGTTTTAAAAAAAACAGTCTGTATATTAGGGCTGTGCAAAGCTTCAGTTGCTGATTCAGTGGAGATTCGGCCTGATTTGATGGCTGAATCTCCAAATCTGAATCGAATCACGAGTCCCTTTAATCTTTCTGAATCAGTTCGGAGGGTTCTAATTCATTTTGGAGAGATTTGGAAAGATTCGATGATTCAGACATAGACACAGCTTAAAAATGTTTTTTCTATATACCTCAAGAAACCAGGTGGCTCATGAATGCTGAGATGGTGGGGCGGATGGAGTGTCCCACAGGAGCGCAGGGGGCTCCCCAGCGTGCTCAGCAGCAGACCTGGAAGTGTCCTGGAAGGACTTCCGGTCCTCTGCCGGGGAGCACGCTGGCGCCCCCCTGCTCCGGGCTCGGCAACTAGTGCCTCCTGGGTCTAGGGGCACCTGGGGTCCCCCTGCGGCCAATTGCTGAGCCGCGGTAGCGCAGAAGTACTTTTGGTCCACTTCTGGGTTCATCTCCTGTGGGACACTCCATCTGTCCCACCATCTCAGCGTTCACGAGCCGCGCTTGGTACCCTGAGGTATGTAGAAAAAACATTTAAAGCTGTGTCTATGGCCAAATCGCTGATTCTCCAAATCAGCATTAAAACTTCCGATTTTGGATTTGGCTGAATCGAATCAGTACAGTGATCTGAATCAATGAATCAATTTGCTGCCCCTGATTTGGGCTGAATCTGAATCAATACAGCCCTTTTCACACACCCCTACTATGTATGGATTTGGAGAGAAGTTGTTGTAACAGTCTTTGGAAACATTTTAAGCTTTGTTTTCCTGTGGTGGATAGTGAATGGCATGGAGTCTGGAGACCAGTTCCTTTCCTGCCTTCACAACTAATTCCTGGTGTTGTGTTTTGGCAAATCATGGATTCTTGTTTTTCAACTTTAGGGATGGGGTGACGGTGTGAGTCTGCTTTTATAGAACACCTTTTGCGATCTAAGAATGAAAATACTGTATGAATTGTTTGGCACAACTCAAAGAAATAATTTTTCCTACACACTTTTTTTGGGGGAAAAAAAGCAGTTCAGTAGCCTGGAGTATAGATGCATGGCCTTATGGGGCTCTGAAGTAAACTTCTGTTACTGGAGCACGTCAAGTCCAGATGCTGCAACTTGCTAGTTTACCTCAAAGCTTACAGCATTTTGTTCTAGGTATTCATTATAGGGAGCAGGATTGCTTGTGCAGGATTTTTGTGCAGGCAAAAGTAAATGGTGATCATTGTGATTATTGGCAAAATTTGTCACTTGATCATGTGCCTTTATTTTTTTTTGGAAAGTTATAGATAAACTGATTCACTACAGTAGGGTTTTGAAAACAGCCTAATATTGTCTGCCTGTCTCTCCTTGCTTTCTCAATATTGAAAAGTTTTAACACTTGAAGCATTACATATTTGGAAAACAAAATCAAATTTTGAGCATTGGTTATTTAAAAAAGAAGTTAACAAGTTAATGACAACTTTTTGAGGATGTGTGAGTTTAAGGAAGTCAGCAGGTGCTATTTGCATCTTCAGAATGTTACATCCTGAATTGTGGTAGAGGTTTGGTCAGGCAGGAGCAAGACTCCAAGAAGTTGATGCAAGTTGCTCAGCATTTGGCATTCTTAAAAAATTGTCAGATTATTTGGGCGTCTTAAATACAGATCTGAAGAGCCTAGCCTTTGGCTCTTGTTTTTAAAAATTCTTGGTCTGCTGTTAAATTAATTCTCTCAAGTTATACTAATGTGAATCTAAAACAACTTTGCTTTTTGTCAAGATGCCTCCTTCAAACCCCAAATAAATGTGTTTGGAAATAATATATTTTATTGGTATTTGAAATCACTTTTACTATTCAGTGAGTAGCTGGCAAGGTAGCTTAAATGTGTAGTGATAGTCAGGTGCTGATTTGTATGGAGAAAGGTTAAACCCTGCTGTTGCCTTTTTTCCCTCTTATGTCTGTATAATTACTAACCAACTCCCTTTTTCCCTAGGCTGTTCACTCTTCCATATTTCACTTCCCTTTCAAGCCTCTCCTCCCTAGACAGCAGTTGAGCTTACAGTATTTCGGAGATCTTATTTCAGTTTGTAGGAGACCTGACAATTTGGGGATTGGAACAGCATTGGACACATGATCTTCGGCGTGTTGAAAGCTCCTGCATTTTAGAGGTATCCTTAAGGCATTCGTTTGATATAGGAAATGGGAGGGACCTTTGTCTATGCAATAGGTTGTGGAGCTTAGGCTGGGGGTTAAATTGTCCTGTTCAGAGTATCAGCATAAGTTAGGAGGATAAATTTATGACTTAGTTCAACTTATTACAGTGTGCGCCCAGATGAAATATTGCTGCTCTTGTTGGGGCTTGTTAAACTTTGAAAACTTTGTAGTGCTTTCATTCTGAAGTCCCTTGTTTGTCATTTCAGCTGCGTAATGCAGTACTCTGATTGATTATCAAACTGGAGACTGAATTGTGCATATGATGCTCTTAACGTGCTCTTACATTTTAAGTAGAGCTGCAGCCTCCTTCATAGACGTGTCTAACTGGTTGACAACGTGTTTATGCCTGTCTCTAAAACCTCCAGAGGGAGGGAATTGGGTAAGATTATACAGATAACTAAAGATCTCAACAGAAGCATTGGTTTCAGATTGCTGATTAATAAGGGTGACAAATTTAGTACTTTTCTGGGACATTTTTCATGAATTCAGATGTTTTGGAATAGTTTCCAAATAGCTGAAGGAAGAAGTCTCAGTGAATGGCTTGGCTATGAATTGTTCAGTCTTTTCTTGTATGTGGTATAGGGTTGATTATGTGGCACTGTTTTATCTTCAGGATTGGGCTGAAATTGTGTTAAATGTGAAAATGATGAATAGTGCTTTTTAACAACTTTCAGGTTAATAGTTGTTTGCAAAAAATAATGAAATTTGTGGAACCTACTGCATAGCTCAGTGAGTCTCAAATGGGGTACCACACTGTTAGCACTGTTAGGTGTTCAGGCATCAGTCACAAGATAAGCTCATATTTTAGATAGGAAAACAGTGTCAACAACATGCTGACCTGTTTTGGTTTTTCTGGGTTCTTTAAAACTGAAGAATTGCTCTGTTATTTTTTTCATGTAGTCAAAAAAAACAAAGGAAAAGTAAGAGCTGGCATTTTCTATGGGGTGCCTTGAGTCTAATGAGGTTGAGAACCAGTGGCAAAGCTCTTTCCAACAGGCAGTAGTATCTAGTAGCATCTTGTTTGCTTTTGAGAGAACTCAGATTTGACTGCTGTACATTTGTATATGACCTGGCTGTGGTTTTATAGACTTGAAGCTTAGTTATCTTGTTATGGGATCACGGTATGGTCCCCTAACTGAAGAACGGTGCAGAAGACCCAATAATGAGTTATATCAATAGTACAAAGATCCAGCTCTGACTCGGGGGGAGGGGGAGAGCTGGGCCATGTTGAAACGATGGAAGTGATCTGGACATGAAAGAAAGTGCTTTTTGGCGTACCGAAGGGGTAGAGTCTACCTGGATGAACAGGACAAAGATGGCTAGTTGATGTAGTGTCAGACCTAAATGTAGATGAATGGGGATGAAGGCCCATGAGAGACAGGAATGGATGAAAATAGTGGAGATGGCTAAAGCAAAGGCCTATAGTGCTAAATTTACTTAATACTTGGCCCTCCCAGTTCATGCACACCACCTAGAATTATTCATTAAAATATTTGAACACATTTTTTTAAAAATGATTTTGCCAGCTTGGGAAGTAAGTGTAGTACAGTGGTTGTCAACCTTTTTTAGACTGAAGGCACCCCTGAATGGACTTGAAGCCCTGGACAGACTCGAGGCACCCCTTGGAAAATGTCCACATTTAGTTTTCACTTTTTTTTTTTTTTGACTACAGAAAAATAGAGCAGTTTTTCTGTTGCA